CCCCCCGCCCTCCCTCCCTCCCACCCGCCCGCGCTCGTCTTCCTCGACTCTCACTGTTTCTCTCCACCGCCGCTTGGTGCTTCACGATTGGCCTCTCCCCGGAGGTAATCCTTCCGCCTTTTCCTCGCTAGCGCGGATAGACCTTCCGCTGGGGAGGAGGAGGAGGAGGAGGAGGACAAAGACGTGGGAAATAGGAGAAAAGGCCAGGTAGCTATAATCAGGGGAGTTTCGCGTGTTTAGAAATTGCTCCTCCTCCTCCTCCCCCCCTCCTCCTCCTTTCTTCTCCTTCTCGTCCTCCTTGTTCTTGTCCTCCACTCCTCCTCCTCCTCCTCCTCCTCGTCCTCCTTGTCCTCTACGTCATGGTTTCCTCTTTCCTCTTCGCTGCTCTCTCCCTCCTCATGCTCGTTTTCCTCCTCCTCGTTCTCGTTCTCCTCCTTGTTCTTGTCCCGCTCCTCCTCCTCTTTCTCCTCCTTGTTCTTGTCCCGCTCCTTCACCTCCTCCTCCTTGTCCTTGTCCTCCTTTCTCCTCGTAGTAGTCTTCCTCCTCGTCTGTCTGGCTTTCGTACTCGTCTTCCTCCTCATCCTTGTCCTCCCCCTAGTCTACCTCCTCCTCTACCTCACCCTCGTCCTTCTCATCCTCCTTGACCTCCTCATCCTCCTCCTCGTTAACCTCCTCCTTAACCTCTGTTGTCATCATGATCGCCAGCAAACGTTCATTTCCACCAGCATTTGACCTCCGTCTTCCGTTGGTCACTTCGGCGGCCTGTCGTTGATCAGTCCAGAGGTGGTGGTGATTGCCTAGGGGCAAACGAGTACAGCAGCATATCCTTTTTTTTTTTTTTTTTTTAAAGATGAACAGTACGGCAGCAGGCTCGCAAACATCTGTGAGTAACTCTATTTCCTCAGGCTGCCTATTCTCTGCTGTATAACGAACGTTGACAGGTGCAAGGTGATGGTGGCCGCGATGGATGCCCCCGAGAGACGAAGGGTGCAAGGTGATGGTGGGCACGATGGATGCCCCCAAGAGGCGAAATTCTGTACAGCTTGGCAGTGGATTCCTGCTGCTCCCCGGGGCTGGGTGGGCTGATGGAGGAGGAGGAGGAGGAGGAGGATTCCTGCTGCTCCCCGGGGCTGGGTGGGCTGATGGAGGAGGAGGAGGAAGAGGAAGAGGAGGAGGAGGAGGAGGAGGAGGCGTGGGACTGGGGGTAGATGGAAGTGGATAATAGTGGAGTCCCTTCATAATTGTTAAAAGAACAACAATCCCTCCCCTTCATAAGTGTGGACTACCGTAGCCCTCGTAGGGCATTCATTTTTGCTTTGGCAGTTACGGTGATCATTGGCTGGTTCCTTTCGACTCGCAGTGAAGGGCCTCTACAGTAGGCCCTCTTGCTCACATGGCGTACGCCATGGTACACCGACGAACTGTTGAAGTACAGACCTGAGTCCGAACCCAGAGAAGTACCTTCTTCCCCCAATACAATGTACGGTCATTATGGTTGTATCTAGACAGAAAGATGGCTGAAAAGTACAGCTATAATGACCGTACGTTGTATTCGGGGGAAGAAGGTAGATGGATGAAATTAAGAAGGCTCCTGAAGGTAGAGGCATGAAGTCCAGAAGACTCCAGAAGGCAGCAGGTATGAAGACTCCAGAGTGGCCCGGGCCCACTTGCCCGGCCGGGCCAAAAAGAAAAAAATATATATATATTTTCAATTAAAAATTTTATTTTCGATTTGGTAAATAATTTCGATGTGACCCTGAGGCAAAAGTTGTTCAGTTCATTTTTCTGCATAACATAGTTTTTTTTCGGAGTTTTTGGATTTTTTTTTTTTTTTTTGGGCTCGGACCTTCCCTAGTCCTTGCACGGCCGGGCCGCCCGGGAAAATAGGGTGACCCGGGCGGCCCGGCCGGTAGCCTAGTATATAAGTCAAGGGAATGAGTAGTGGTGGGTAGATATTGAAAAATGACATTGAGAGAAAAATATAGCTTAGTTAAAAAAAAAATAAAAAATCCCTGGGATCGAATAAGTCACGGTTGAGTCTGGAAGACTCCGGAAGGCAGTACCTATGCTCCAACATGACCTTTTTTTTTTTTTTTTTTTTTTCCAGTGGGTCCAACATGCCCTGACCACCGTGTATACGTCAAGTTCCGTAGTACGTTCTGGCTGAACAGGACCCGACTACGGGATATAAGTAGAGACCGGGGCAAGGGCAAGTCAAGGACATGACCCCTTTAAGGACCCAGTGGGTCCCGGCTGAGTCCCCTCCAGAAGGCACCAGTGCCTGCTGGCTGAACAAATACCTGACATATGGCGGCATCTTGAAATCCGTATTGCCAAGGCTCTGCAGCGTCGATATAAGCAATCTGACGGTTGCCAATGCATCACATCGTTGAGATGTCTTAGGGTTGCGCTCGTTGTACGACTTAATCGAACAAAACTCGCTATAGGACTTAAACGGGTTGCGCTCGTTATAGGACTTAATCGAACAAAACTCGGTGTTGGACTTAACCGAATGTCTCACGACACTAGCTGATGATAATAATCAAAATATCGAACAAAACTCGCTATAGGACTTAACCGGGTTGCGCTCGTTATAGGACTTAATTGAACCGGGTTGCGCTCGTTATAGGACTTAATCGAACAAAACTCGTTGTTGGACTTAACCGAACGTCTCACGACACTAGCTGATGACAGATAACACCTGTAATAATCAAAATACAAACTCCTCCACGCGACAAAATCATATTCATTGGTGCACATTGTAAAGCACTCCTCCCACGGAGATGAGTCAAACGTGAGTTTTTTTCATCAATCAAATCAAAGGCTGATAGTTTTTTTTTGTGAGTGTAGCACATCATTGCGATGTCTTAGCAGCTCGAAACGAGGGTTGCGCCGTTATAGGACTGATCCCAACATCTCACGACATGAGCTGACGACAGTCGTGCAGCACCTGTATGAAGTCAAAATGCATCCACCTTACGAGGAGTTTCTTTTTCTTTCATATGTCAAGGGCTGGTAAGGTTTTGCGAGATGTAATAGACTTAAACAACATGCTCCACCGCTTGTGTGTGCTGGCCCACATCATTCCTTTTTTGAGTTTAAAGTTAGTTTCACTGTGACGAAAGTGTGCCCATCTCCAAAACATGGTTGTGGCTCATGGCCTTTGAGGACACCTAGGGTTTTTGAAGTCTTTTGATGTATTTAGGGGTATCTGCAAAGACAGTCAAATTCTTATGCTTTTTCGCTTGTGTGTGCAGGCCCGCATCATTCCTTTTTTGAGTTTAAAGTTAATTTCACTTTGACGAAAGTGTGCCCATCTCCAAAACATGGTTGTGGCTCATGCCCTTTGAGGACACCTAGGGTTTTTGAAGTCTTTTGATGAATTTAGCGGCATCTGCAAAGACGGTCAAATTCTTACGCGTTTTTGCGCCTTTGTGGGATTCACACGCGTCTGCTCTTCTTCAAGCCGTAAGGTAGCCACCAAAGTTGTTGTGGCCAAGGAAAGGTACTCCGAGAGGGGGTTAACGGAGGCCCGTAAAAAAATTCAGACATCTTGTCATGCCATTTATAACAAAACCCAAAGGGCATTATAAGTTTTTTAGCTAAACTTGCCACCAATTCATAGAGTGGAGACCAACTAATTGCAAAAAAAAAACAAAAAAAAAACACAACCCTATAAACACAGCAAGGCAAAAGTGCGCTTTCATAGTCAGGAGCTGAAAGCGGGGGTCCCCTTTAACCACTTGTGGGGTAATATGGGTTTTGTCCATGCTCAGTGTTAATGACATTGTGAGTTTGTCTCTAGGGAACGATTCCAATTTAGACCGCTGCCGTGCTTCACAAATGGATTGCTTTGTTTTTCTCTCTTTATTCTTTTGATGTCTTCTTTGAAATGTTTAGCCTCCAACCCATGTCCTTCAATTTCCTTCTGATGACGCACTGGATTCGGGAAAAAGAGTTCAACCATGTACAGCAAGACCTCCCATTGAGCCTCACACTCCACTACTTACCAAATGTGCAAAATGAGAATGAATCTTCCGCTAGAACATGCAAGGAAAGATACACCGTCTTATTTTTGTCATTTGTGCATGTGGTGAGTAGTGGAGGGAGGCCCATTGGGTAGTACATCCATCCCCCTTGTATTTATGCAGGATACATTGACAGTACTGTTTTTGTTTTTTTTTGTTTTTTTTTGGTCCAAAATGGTTGTTGGCCTTGAGATAGTAACTGACCGGTCCAAGGTAAGTCAGTATTCTATTCAATCATTCGTATCGGGATTGGAACCCAGGTGTTTATTTTGACAGATCATGGGTGTACCAACTGAGCTTGTCCTATTGGTTTTTGTTAGGTCGCGGGCTGAAAAGAATTCAAACGTTTACTGCAAGACTTGTATTGACTATATGCATGCCCCCTTCTTTATGAAGGATACGGCGACTGTACTATTGGCTTTTGTTAGGTCACGGCCGAGTCCAGAAGACTTGCCAAGGCAATACCTGCTGGTGTTTGGAACCGGCCATTGTTGTTCTTGTTGTTTTTAATAATATTTGGACCATTTTTCGGTTTATGCGTGTCATCCTTGCACAGGGGCCATGCTAATCTATCTACTCTGTATCATTCCACTGTTAACGGATGTCCTGAAGGACAGGAGCTGTCGATTGTATATAAGTCAAGGCCAGGGCAAGGCGAGCATGAAATTGGCCTGGGACCCAGTAGGTCACGGGAGAGTCTGGAAGACTGTCTGGAAGACTGCGGAAGGCAGTGCCTTCCGGCCAGTCAAACAGGACTCGTCTGCTGTACGTAATTCAGCACTAACCTTCTTCCCCCGAATACAATGTACGGTCATTATAGCTGGACTTTGACCGGAAGATACCCCAAATACAGTTATAATGACCATACATTGTATTGGGGGGAAGAAGGTAGCATGTATGGCAGCATAGCAGGAAATCTGCGAGAGCACCAACAGAGCGTCAGCCTAACAGCATAGCGGGAGGACAGCAGCAGCAGCAGCAGCAGCGTAACGGCAGGAAATCAGCCAGATAACCGCAACAACCTTGCAGCATCTGCCATCTGCAACATAGCAGCATCAATAGTATAGCATAATAGCAATAGCAGCATCAATAGTATAGCATAATAGCAATAGCAGCATCAATAGTATAGCGTAATAGCAATAGCAGCATCAATAGTATAGCATAATAGCAATAACAACAACATATCCGACACAGGAAAGGAAGAGCAGTAGGAACATAACAATGGCAGCCGGGGCAACATTGCAGCAGCGGAGAAAGATAACAGAAGTAGAGCCATACCTGCAGCATAGCAGCAACATGGGACCGGCATAGCGGCAGTATACAGCAGCAGCACAAGCCACAGGCATCTTTCCATCCCTCCACCGAAATCCCTCCATCTGTCTATCCCGTACCCCATCCATCCGTCTATTCATCATTTAGTTTGTTGATCCATCCAGCTATCTATCCGTCCATCCGTCCATCAATCAATCAATCAATCAATCAATCAATCAATCAATCAATCAATCAGTGTATCTGGCCATCTGTCCATCCAGCCATCCATCAATCACTTTGTCCATGCGTCCATCTATCCATCCATCCACCCATCCGTCCATCCGTTGAAGTGGAAAGCTCGGGTCCATGGGATCTGTTGAAGTCGAAAGCTCGGGTTCATGGGGTCTTCGCGTTTTTTCCCACAACTTGGCAGGAGGCATTGCGGCAAGGCGGCCTCAATACTGTATCTGGGTATAGGCCCTCTTGTGAGGGCTGAAGATAGATCAGACATGAAGCGTCTGCCACTTTGTGCTTGTCGTGTGGCTTCAGGCTCCATCCATCCATCCGTCCATACCTCCATCGTCCACCCATCTGTTCAGCTTTCTTCCATTTGTTCGAATTCATCCATCCATCATGCATCGGTATCCGTCAAGCCTTCTGTCCATTCCGATCCATTATTACCCATGCACTCGTCCAACCATCTTCACCCAAATAGAACGCTGGTTCACTGTATCTGGTCTGGAAGTTGCCGCAACTACAGCGATAATGACCGCGCGTTATCGCTGCATCTGGTCTGGAAGTTGCTGCAAGTACAGAAATAATGACTGGGTGTTCTATTCAGGTGAAGACGGCAGTCCACTTAGCCATCCGTCCATTCACTCACATCCATCGATCTTTCCATCTGCCAAACCATCTCAGTCCATCA